AGGAGGGAGAAGGAGGGGGAGGAGAGGGAGGAGGAGAGAGGGAGGAGGAAGGGAGAGGGAGGAGGAGAGAGGGAGGAGGGGGAGGGATCCAGGGCAGGAGTGCCACACCTCTGCCCTGCTCACAGGGCCACCCAGCAGTCACCAGAACCCATGCAGGTCGCAGGTGGCAGGTCGACCCTCCCTGGCTCTGTGGGGAGGCTCCCGCCTGCACCCCTCACCTCGGTGCCCCCCAGCCCCGCTGCCGTGCCAGTCTCTCCTCACCTTCCTCTGAGACCTCAGCCCCCGCGGCACCCAGTACGGCATCACAGCCTTGGTCCTAGGCAGCGGGAGGCGGCCCCCAAAGTGGTGGCACGGGCAGGCGCATGTCTTGGTGGCTTTGGGGATACAAAACTGGACCATCCTGGGGATCTACCAGAGGAAGGCGAGAGAACGCTCTAGAAGGATACCCAGCAGGACAGGCCCCGGGAGGCCCTCTTGCAGGCACCCCAACCTCCCGGGCCAAGGAGCTCGGATGCCCCTCTTGATGGCCCACAGGACCTCTCAGGTCCGCCTGCCACCATCCGCAGGACACACAGGTTGTGGCTGGAGGAGCGGCTACATCCTGCCCTTGGGCACCGGCCACTCTGCATCTCCACACGCTCAGCTATAAAGGGGACTCTGCTGGCGTTCTGAGTGGACATTATTTGTGATCCAGATTTCCACTCCTAGGGACACTTCCTATCTGAACAGTCTGCACTGCAATGGGCACATGGGAATGTCCACTGCACTCCTGTCAGTAGTGACCACAGCCAGGCACCCTTCTCAGGGGACAAAAACCTACACCCCTCCATCTCTGTCCCTCTCCTCACCATGTCCCCAGAGAGCTCCTATCTGGGGTCCTTTCACCCTGGAGGACAAGGACCCCTGGCCCATCCTGCCCACCTCTTCAGCATGGAGCCCAATCTCCACAGCAGCTGCTGGACTAGAAACAAACCAGCCTCTGTCCTGCCCCTGAGTGCACTGCCCAGTACTGCCCAGACTGCCCAGCACGGCCCAGCACTGCC